AAACGCGAATTTGAGACAATTACCTATTTTGTCTGGAGTTCCAATGCTCCCCTCTCCAGTCCCTAACCCGTTCTTGTTTCTCCAACGCAGAATTTAATGCCTCCCAGTAGTACTTCCCTTTACTAGTTGAAGCACAGTTTGTTAGTATAGCATTCTTTGAAATCATCTGGAAGTTCGTCGACCTCACCTGATGAGGTTGTTCGGTAGGATTCACCGCTTACCTTGAGCAAGTATGCATGATGTTGAGGAGTTAGGCCGAACGCACAACCAAATAGCCCATTTTCTGGTGCTAAAGCATGAAGCTTCCCACTACGCGTACATCTGATCCACACGACATCATCACCGAGCATGCGAACCTTAAATGAACTTGAGCATGCTAATCTCGTTTCTTCTAACGAGGTGTGCTTACTTGCCAATCTTTCAAAGTAGGTGTCATGGTAGCAAACGCAGTTTTTCCAGCACCACTGGGAAAAGAGACGCAACCAAATATCTCCTTGCCAGTAGGGTCTAGAAGTCAAGATACATCGCCTGTTATGGCGCGGTATTTCGGTTTGAATGGCCAAGTAGCATCAACAGGGTGATTTTTGAAAAACGTTCGATTAAAGTGATGGCGATCGCATCCATAGATCCTTAGATTTACACCAAGATTAAATTGACAGGTCGTCAAAATAAGCTCACATCATTGATCTAGATTTCGTAGGAAAAAAAGATTACATAGAAATAGATTTTCAGTCGAATATCACTTATTGTTAGCTCCTCTTAAAAAAATGCAGAGGGTTATAGTATGTTCTTGTTAAAGAAGCTGATGACCTGAATTCTGCATTCTACCAAGGATTTACAAAAAACATTACGAGTGTTTTCCAAAATAATTATGCTAGCCAAGAACATAAGCAATGAGCAAAAGCATTGGAAGACAATCACAAGTTTCATTTAGATTCAGTATGAAAAGTGGAAAAGGAAGTGGAGTTTTAGGAGTTTTATAAGAAAGTTTTTTTAACTCCCTATTTCCTTCGTGTTTCTCCAGCAACATCAATCGCTTTCCTCACCTTTCACCGCAATGAGAGCTGCTGGTAGCGCTAACCATCCTTCCCTATAACCACGATACATAGCCAATCGTAAGGCAACACATTTCTTGCTCAAGAATGAGTTTTGGCCAAATGCTGACCCATATGCCCACACCTGCAAATAATGTTTTTGCTGCTGACTGTGTTGCTGGTTATGAGAATCAGAAAGCTGTTCCTGAAGCCTAGCCACTTCCAGCTGAATTCTTCGTCAGGTTGTAATAATGAACAATAATATTTTGAACTCCATGCTTACAATGGGCGTGCGCATGCGCTTTCGCGAGTCTCTTAAAGGCAGGGGCTCGACGGAACGACAAAATTGGTATATCCATCGTTATCAGTCCCCCTGGATGAGTTAAATCTAATCATGAGTTAAATCTAAGAATGTGCTTTGCACCTTCAAAAGATGTCAATAATCCGCTTTTCCAAGTGTGAAAAGTTATTTGGGCGAACCCCTCGTGAGTGAAGATACCGTACCCACCGTACCCACGAGCC